GCGATCAAAGTTTTCTGCAGCATTATTACAATGGCAATGTGCAAGTGCACAATTATTTGGCTCTTCTCCATGACTCGAACTTGAACGCTTTTCAAACTTCCTGACCAAGGTTATATCTCCTTCATTTGATAGACGTTTCTTGAATTCTGCGTGATTGCAATTTCATTCAGCAAATTCGCTTGCTTCGCTCTCAAATTTTTCATTCAACTAATCTTACAAACGGCGCGCATGTCATGTGATTTCCCACTTGTTGTTTTTGTCACATCGACTTCCGGTCGTTTTGTAAAATTAAAATCCAATAAAATTAAGCTATATTTCCAAGAATACAAACGCACCGAATTTAACAGAACAATTATTCCATTCGCGCTTGTTGGATATGAGATTGGTTATAGCCAACTCGGCTCTACGGGCATCGTTGGCTATTTACCATCTCATATCCAACGCGCGCTCATGGAATAATTGCTAATTAATCATGGACCTAAACCATTTTAACTAACGAACGAGTTGGAAATTATGAGCCCCAATTGCGAGGAAAGAATCCTAATTTTTTGAACCTCCAAAAGAAAGTTCCAATTTTTATAAAGAAATGTATGTCCGGGGGACAAGCGTTGCACCCTGACATTCAAAGCTAGCTCCATTTGCTGATAAGGATACAGTCGAACTTCCCGCAGGCTACCACCCAAATTGTCAAGCCTAAGTGGTCGATTACGGATCTGAGATGATTATGGCCTTAACACCCCAGCTCGTTGGCCATCTGTCACCTGACATCCCACTTGTGCTAATTTTTCTTTGAACAAGAAATAGACAGTATCTTATTTTATGTCATTCGCGTCAGGTAAAACAATAACGCTAGTACAAGTATGACTAAAATTTACTAACTAAAAACTGCTTGAATGCTAAATAGATATTTAAAGATCACTTATATTTTGAAACTGAACCATTTAGAAGAACGAATTTGGCCGTTATTATTATATATCAGAATATTCTGTATCAGGCCATATTTTTGTGCTCCTCACCTGAACAAATATTTTGACCCTCCGCGGAATGACAATGCCATGATTGCAGTAACAACAAGATAACGATCGAACTGTACGCCATCATTGGCAACCGAACACCGAAACCTATGTAGCTCAAGGCGTCGCTAGTTTTTGTAGCGTACTAGCTACGAGATTATGTTATGAAAAAGAAAACGAAAAACGTGCGAACGAAAACGTGCCCATTGTCGGCACGTCTGTTCAGCTCTCCAATATCGTATTTCCCAATGTCGTCTTTCTATGCTAAACAAAACTGATGTTTGCCAGTTTAGAACGTCTTGCATAATATCAATTTAGCTGCACGACATTGTTTTAGTTTGTTTAGAATTGAATGAATGAAATACGTTTTCTAGTTGTTGTCCTAAGTAATAACCATTTAGAACAAAGATGCTTGGTAGGGCGGTTGAAAGGTTGGTATTTCACTTTTATAGCACGTTTCCAAGGCGAGGAGGCTTCGTGTATTTTAATTGCTCAATATGTTAAACATAGCTGATCACGGCTACACAGCTGTTTCGTGCCAGCCTTTGAGAATACATGTTTACGACATATCTGTTGAAAAACTGTTCAAGTTCACAAAAAAAGAGATCATTTTTTACGAAAAAGAAAAAACATTCAGAAGAAATGCTTGGAAATCTTCGGTTTACTGACGAAACCTCGGTTACGCAGAAGCTGACAAAAAATCTGACAAGTACGCGAAAAATTAACCCGAATTTCACGTTGCCAGTCATAAAAAGACCTTTACATTTAAAAATTTATCGGTTCCTTAGTTTAGCATAATAGGGGTGACTTTTGGCGAAACTTTCTTACGGCGCCAAGTTTCAACTTAACTTGCAGACTGTGATATCAGAAAGCTACTTAGACGGTAACATATTTCATTTGGGATCATACTTGTTAGTAATGATGAAGCTACATTTTTGGCATTAGGATCGATAGAAGTAATTTCTATCTTTGCTAACATTACATTTTATGGCGGCTGTTTGGCAGAACGTTTCAATAAATTAGCCTAAAAATAGCCGTGACAAAGTCCATTTCAGGTGACGGTCAGCAGTTTCCAGCACTTACACTTTCATGGATTAACAATTACTGAAAAACAAATTGTGGTCATCTCTTTTTTTTATATAACAGATTACCATAGCAACAATATAACTTGTTAAAAACATGCTTAACATCCCTTTTTAGCTTGAGTGGTTTATTGCTGCATTTCAGACCATGTGATGATACTCTCGAGAATTATTGCTTTTGTATATGAATGAATAACTTTTAGATTCTATAGAAAATATTACGTGATCTTTATTAGAAAAACAAAGCACAAAAGCTAAAAAGTTCTACTAAAGCTTTGAGTGCTCATAACTCAAAAACCAGCTGTTACTGAAACTAGTCTTTATACTGCTTCAGTACTGCTATTTTTACTGCTACTGCTCCTATTACTGTTACTGCTACTGCTACTGCCACTGCTACTGCTGCTACTACTACTACTTCTACTACAGCTACTGCTACTGTGACTGCTACTACTACTACTGCTACTGCTACTGCTACTGCTACTGCTACTGCTGCTGCTACTGCTACTGCTACGACTACTACTAGTACTACTACTGCACTGTTGCAACTATTTATTATATACTTACGTGGAAGACGGCTTTGCTTGAGAGGAATTTTCATTTTGATCCTGCTAGGCCCTTTGTATCTCCTGTGCTGCTCCTGTGTAATCCAATATGGCTTCACCGGTTGTGCAAAGCCAGCAAGGGCAAACGAGCCTCGATACGTTACTAAGATGGGATCCGTAGCACCCAGTCTCTTGAGAGCGTCTAATGCTGGAGACACCTGCCTTGACCCATCGTCTTGAATGGCGACGAGAACGATTTTACTGTAATAGACATTAAGGTAGAATGGTTATTTCGATTAATCAAAGGTATATAGCCTCCCGGCCGGAATACCTATAACGTTGTTCATTACGTATGCAAAGGTCTTCGGAGCTTCTAATAACTTGCGTTGTTACCTTCCAATAGAATGAAAGAAAAACGCTCTTATGGACTAAACCAAAGAACTTTCACGTCTTTCAACAAAAAAAACATACTTATGACCAAAAATTCTGAAATTTTATCAGAATTGCAGTTATGATCTGTTCAGAGCCTATCGTAAAGTTGTTGTTAGTCTTTTTTTTCCGAATGAAAACATGACTACGAAGCGTTAACAACTTATTTCATCATCGTCACCATCGTCATCATCATCAAAGTCCAATGGCACTTTACAAAACGTACGAAGAAAGATAAATAATTTTCAATATTCCATCAAGTTTCCTTTGAAAAACAAAATGCTCAAATCAACAAACAGCACAACATTGTCAACGAAACAACGAAAGCAATCACTTACTCTCCACTGATGGCTTCAAGATAGTCTCTTAACTTGTAACCAGCCTGGCGATCACCAGATACCTGGTGAGTATCAAAACGTTGTGATCCGGTCACTGCACCTACACCGAATGAAGAATGTTTAGTTCAGAAAAAACTTATTTTATGAGAGGTTATTTCTTTTTCTTATCGCCCAGCTTCCGGTTAGGAAACTGTCTTCCGAGTTATGGCTGTATGGGTCACCATCTGCGCATGCGAATCAGTCCTCTTCCGCTGACGGCTCCTCACCTTGGCTGGGATAGTAAACAAAGGTTAATCCGAATAATTACATTTGGCCTATTATAAAGATGCTTGAGGCCATCACGCAACAGTGTCTTAAAAGACCACAGAGAACTATGCCTTCTCTCCTGAGTACCGCTTTTGTTTTGGGTTTTCACGTTTTTATTAATGCTAATCACACCTATTTTTAATAATTCCGAGTGGCTGAGAAGTTGAATTCGGGTCTACCGTGAAACAACTTCAGCTAGTAACCAGGATGAGAATAGAACTTCTTAGGGCCCGAAGTCTCTCATCATAGCAGATCAATTAGGTTATAACACTTGGGGCAAGTATTATTACAAGCATTTGCACTGTAGAACACCATTTCCCGGCAGGAATCCCGTATGAAAAGGACAGAAAATTTTGGAAAGAACTGGCCCTAGGAGGTACCAAGATCCTGCTTTGTGGGAGTGGCTGGAAATTTTGTTCACCCCCAAGAGGTATCAATTCTAAAACAGAATATTATCTTCTGTCGGCTCAATACCCTTAGAGGTAGCGTAAATCTCCCGCTGTGCACCTTTTAAGGCTGACCACCATAGGAGCTACCTATAAAAGGCACGACTGCCCCCCCTGTCCTTTTCATTTNCCCCCCCCCCCCTGGTCCTTTTCATTTGGGAGTCACGCCGAGCACTATTATACCTGTTTTAGCATCCACAATGACAACATTGTGGCCCTTTCTACGAGGCGCGTAATTCTTTCCATACACCTTAATGAAAGTAGCACCACAACGCCCGGGAGGTTTTCCTGGATCATCACAACCTCTGCTCTTGACGTCAATATCCACGAAAGACGCTAAAGAAAACACAACAATATTTTATTTTACAACGAAACGTGCTCAACCAGTCAATACTTAGGGTTAAATCAGTTCTACGTTATTGATTTTATACCCTTTCCTCGGGCGTCGGGGTCCTGTGTTGCTGCATTAGATGAGGAATACGTTTCCACATATTTTTGACCACACCTAAAGGGTGGTTTTTTAGTGGTTTTTTGTATCTGGCGTAATACATGTTCTAATTTATAGAACCAATGGTTGTAATTTGTAAGGACACAGATTATGTTGTAACACGGAATACATCTATATCAGATGACTGACTGACTGACTGACTGGTGTATCGTCAATAAACTATTCACGTTGAATGTATCGTGTTAGTGTAGTCAGAATCTTACAATTATGTTGGTTCTCGTGGTTCTAATCTTGGACGCGACAATGTGCAAACTTATATTTCTCCCCTTTAAATTGCGAATTTATCCAAACCTTTGTTAATCTCGATTTTCGTTGCTCTCTCGAGTCCAGTCAAAGTAAAGAGGTACGTGCTCCGTTCCCGTACAGCAGCTGAACATCGAGACTAGATCTTTGTCAGCTTTTCCGGGAAAACCTAATTTTGTTTTAAGACTAACCAGAGAATAAGCGAAACACTACTGTTTGATCATTGGGCCAAAGAAACAAAAGGATCTGGGATGAGCATGAAAATTTCAGGTGGGAATTTGCAGAACAATAAAAAAAGGTATTGTCGTTCGTTTTTAGGTGAAACACATCTTATTTTATTATTATTTTTTATTTTTTTATTATTTTTTTTTAATTTGGTCGGACATTGCTTTCTTGCCTGCATAAAGGTGAATTTGATACGTTCTATTCACAACAATTTCAACCAACGTTCAAAGATTTCGAGCTTCCCAGAGAAGACACTTTCGATCAAATTGAGGCCGAGTGACAGATCAGAAACGAAACAATAAGCTACATTGAGCAAATAAATTAATAATCAGTATGTCAATCTTTGAAACAAAAGCACAGAAAAAGATGTCCTAGAGGAGAGATATTTTTTTTTAAAATATCCTTCCGTAGTTTAAATACAACAGTCGAATTGCGGGTACTTTAAAGTAGAAAGAAGAAGCAAAAGTTTTGTTTACCAACAACAAAAGACAGAAACTGCCTGCCCAAATTAAACTGAATTTACATCCGTTTGCGTGCTCGCTTAACGATGAAGTCATGTATCATTTAGGCCGATTTCAATTTATCAAAAGCCACATACAGCAAATTAAAATGTTGTAGCATGCAATTAAGTAAGGAAGCCAAATAAGATATTGCGTAAAAAAAGCAAAAAAGCACCCGATCTTCTTTGAAATCGCAAGACGTAATTGCGTTATAAACCAAAAATGATTTATTTGTTATTCTCAATAGGTTTGGCATCACTGCTAAAAGGCTAATCGGCTCTGAAAAGATTAAATACGATCAAGTGGAAACCATTAAGACGTTGATTCGACTTTAGACATATTCGCTGAACATGCAATAGAACTCCTTTTTGCTCTTAAGCACCTTATCTCTATGAGCGTAAGGGGGAGTTGCGCAGAACGTTACAATAAAATCCTCCTACGCTAGCCACGAAATCCTAAGCTTTATATATTTTTGCCTGGTAGATTCAGTTTCTAAAAAGAGAAGCAACTTTCTAAAGGGACAAAAAAACTAAAGCAAATCTCACCTGGGCAGTCTGTTGCATCCTGACAAGAATAACTGAACAAAAGAAGAAACAAATAAATAGCGAACCACGCGTCGGCCATCATCTGATGTCGACAATTAACAAGACATGGATGCGAATTCCAGCTCGGAAAGCGGGCAGATATTTTATGACGCACATTGGCCGAATAAGAAATTCCTCAGAACGAAAAACTGACAGCTGTTTGCACGCCTGTCTGAACAAAATCGCTTATTAGCCGAGATCAACTGCTTTTATGCTAAACAAGTGTGGCGTTTTGTCAACTCACCGAGACAGCTTTGCATAATGGTTAAGTGCAATTTATTTACATGTACATGTCTTTTATGTGAAGAATGCCGAAAGGTACCATTTTTTCATTCTCGCGTTGCTATTGTTCAAAAACAATAACAAGCCTTCTTGGTTCAAGTTTTTGTTTATGATTAGAATTCAGTGATTCATTTCCACATGGTGTCAAAAGGAATAAAGGATCGTAGAATGAGTAAGTCCCAGAAACTGGAAACCGAAAACTTAAGACTCGCTTGAACTATCTGAATTGACACTGTTTTCCGTCCCTCTATATAGTTTACATTTTTCCAGCAACCTAACAGTAACCTTAGTTACGCCAAGTAGAATAACTTCTATAATTTGGCTGTCGTAAAAGTCTTCAACGACCGCCAAAAACCCTTGAGATACTTGTGAAAATTCTATTCATCCGCAATACTTAAGTCAAAAGTAATGAATTGATTTTCAGAATCCCCTTTAATTTCTCCCGTCGGCAAAAAAAGTATTTTAAAATACTGCCAAACGGTTTGCTAAAGAAAAGTAAACTTTACATCAGCGAAGAAAAGATTGAATATTTAAAGTCCATTTGGAAGCTAAGCTAACATTCCACGAGAACTGCGGTTTTTTATTTACCCCGGTCATTAGGACTATTTCTACAGAGCAAATTCGCGAGCGAAATGTTTCGGCTGGTAGGTTATTGACAGGGCGGGGCAATACAGGAGTTGTGGGATGTCTGTGTTTTAATTTGCTTTCTTGTTTTGCGTACAATGGAGACGACGCATTGCTTCCTCGGTTGCTCTTCTTTTAATTTATCAACAACACAATAAGACCGAGAATTCCTCCCGTCTGTTTCATTTCAGATGATGTATTTTAGCATGGAAAATTTAGCCATGAAGAAACAGACCCATACATCTGAATGCGAGAACACCGTAACCATGACAGTCGCGAGGACAAGCAGTGATGTCAAGATCGTCACCAAGGGATGAATAAACAACTGTCAAAAATATTCAATTTTAATATTCTAAGGAGAAACGTTTTTTCAAGTTAAAAGTAATTGTGAAAAATAAAAGAGTTTAATATCTACGCATATAAAAGTCACAAAGCAGCTTCACCGGAAGTATAGAACGTGGTTAAAAAGAAGGTAAACAGAGATTGAGGGAAAGTAGAAAAGATACATACTGGTCACTGAAAGATTTTTCACTTATTTATTGAGTACAAACAATTTTTTGAGTCAATTTATTCAAGTCACAGTGCTGAATCTAATCTTTCGAGGGAGGACCATGTTGATTAGATGCGTTATCAGATAAACAAGAAACTAGGTCTTCAGCGGCGCTACAAGACCTGCCTAGGTGCTAGGATTACTTTTTGGAACTCTTTTGTTGTACTCCTGTCTACTATGGAGATGATAAGGGAGACCGGGGAAACTCTACACATTAAGGCTGCGCGCTTTACTTTAGATCTTCCTTTGCGGCGCAAGCATCTGCAAGCGACGCACCTGCAACACTCCACTGGAAGCCTTTGCAATGGCGAGGGCAATAGTTAACAGAGGGGAATGGTTATGAAACCCCAGGTAGGTTTTTTTTGTTTTTTGTTTTTTGTTTTTTTTCGCTTTTTTGGCCTTGACCGCGCACAAAACACGATAGTTGTTTACTCCGTACCGAGGAACTAACCAGTAGAAACGTTTGGTTACGTAATCATTCATAGTGTATGAGCGCAAAACAAAAGATTGCGGACGGTCGTAGACCTTCCAGCATAAATCTTGGCATCTTTGTTTGCTCCTTTGATGTTTGCCGAGCTTCACAACCATTTCCGTCTAAAAACTATGGAGGGGCTGAGCCCCGCGACATTTTTACAATTCTGCTAACGACCTTTTAATAAACTTGTCTGACTGTCGAGCGTTTTTAACATGAGCCTCTGGTTCGGAAGATTGTGCAAACACTCCCCACGTTTTCAAAATTTAATAAATTATTACCATTACTATTATTACTAACTGTTCGATCAATTAGCAGTTTTCACGAATATAAAACTGGATCCTTAATTTATTCTTATCTATTGCTCCAATCCATACTTGGGTAAAAGTGAAAAGTGTCCCAAGACTTTAAACCAGGATTGCAATCCTGGTCAAAAGTCCTTGGGACACTTGACAGAATGCCAATTGGTGACACATTATTTTGAATTGGGAAGTCATTATTCTATTTTCCGAACCCCCCTGCCCCACAAAGCAATGTAGGAATAAGGAGTCTACTTTGGATGAATCAACATCAGCATTGTGTTGGAGGTAAGGGGGGGTGGGGGGGAGGGGGGCTGGACTGAAAGACCATATTTGGGTAACAGTGCAAAATGTCTCAAGACTTTTGACCAGGATTGTAGTGGCTTTCCCTGACTTTAGTCTAGTTCAGAGCTTAGGTTCATGTAAGTTCAAAGTAATTTTGGTCGGCTGTTTTCATTTTCTGTACGAGGACGAGGATAATAATGTGCAACCTCATACATGTCAGTACAATTTATTAAATGTTGAGCCATTAAACTACCTGGAGTGGGGAAGAGGGGTGAACAGGTACCTCATTGTAATTTTTATTTTGTGGCATTGCTATCACTTCTGGTGTAAGAGTTTTCAGTTGGGTTCCAGTTCTCAAATTGCCCCATTTTGGGAGCATGTTCCATTGATTCTGCAACCCCAAGGTACCACCCCCTCCCCCCTCTCCTTCCCACCTTGAAAAATCCTGCTTCAGCCCCTGTGCTTAATGAGTCCATACAACTAGTCACTAACGATGAAATTCTATATTGCATAGAGCTACGTCTTGCCAAATTTAATATTTCTTGGCTGTGGATCATTTAGGCTGACAACATAATCGCGAGAAGGATAAACTTCTTATAATAATCCAGTGACTCCTCATACGTAATGTCTTTGGTGTCCGAAACTTTACTTCAAGTGTTTTGGTGATGGTACTGACGGGTATGGGAAGGGATGGACAATTTTGTGTTATGCGCAGCTTTCAGCAGCTTCAAAGAAATATCATCCTTGCTCCCCTCAACACATGGCCCAATCAGGCTTCCTGCTCCCCCAATTCAGATTATTTCTTGAGTAACTTTCCTTTTTGGACGGTTTAGGTTAAGGTATTACTTTGGCAGAGAACTCGTTAAATGATTTTATAAAGACATTGCACGAGAAAGTTCCAAGTTTTACAACTCCTTGCTCAAGGTAGCTATTACTGCTTGCTTGGTAGTCCTGAATTAAATGGGATTGTACAAACTGTGAGCAGGGAAGTTACAAAGGCAACCCAAAGCAAAACCACTTTTAGCGACCCTGGCAAGATTTAATTTCATTTGCAACACCTAATCCACTGTACAGTCCATAGCAACCACTGTAATTGCTAGCGCTTGACACGCCGAGACACGTTGGCAACCCTTTGTGTATGTGTATGTGAGCATAATTATTTAATACCGGAACATTTTTTTTTTTTTTTTTGCCTTTATAATTATGATATAACATATCACGTAGTCAAGCTTAGGCTGGTTAGTGCGCTCGTGGTTAGTGCGCTCGTCTTGGATCGAGCGGTCCGGGTTTGAGCCTTGGCCGGGGACATTGCGTTGTGTTCTTGGTCAATACACTTTACTCTCTAAGTGCCTCTCTCTACCCAGGTGTATAAATGGGTACCGGCCAACTTAATGCTGGGAGTAACCTTGCGATGGACTAGAATCCAATCCAGAGGGGAGTAGAACTGAAATTACTCCTAGTCGCTTCAAGTCACAGAAATCGGGATAAGCTCTGGCTTGATGGGCCACTTGGCTCGTTTGCAGACTTTACCTTAACCTTTAAGCTTAGGCTTCCATTCCACATCCAGTTCCGTTGGATTTCTTGAAAAAAAGGACGGCAATCTGATCAAGCTTCTCACAATGCCTATATTGGCCACTTTTAGGAACAAATAACACCAAAATTATAGTATGTTGTCGATATATATATCCTGTTAAGTATAATCAACTTTACTTATTTACAGATCGCATCCTCACCTGAGCGGTTTGTCCCCCCTTCCATAAAAAAAAAACACATAAGAAGAGGATATTTCTTACGTAAGAAATAAATTAAATGCGGGTGAGTGTGGTTCGTGACCCCCTGCACAAATCTAGTTGATATCCAAAGATATAGCATTATCATAATAAATCGCGTGATCCTATTAACACGACAGCCGAAAAGAAAACGTCAGTTTCTTAGCTTTCTGATATGGTCTATGCATGGTACGCTATTAAAGGAAGACTCTTTCCCTGAAGAGAGAGGAGACAATCAAACTGAACAACTCATTATGCACGAGTTTTGTGAAAAAATGTTTATTTCTTAAAGCGCCATAGGCGATACTGGAAGTTCTCAAAACAATTCAGTGAGGGTTGCTTCGGAGAAGTGGGGCCTCGCATGTACAGTTTCTATCTCCCATAGCTCCGTACCAAAGGGATTATGCTCTTTAGCATACGCTGGTGTAAGTTTGATGATGGTGATAGATGCTATATTCCATGCGGACTATCAATGAAAAGAAGTGCTATTCATTTATGTGTGAAATTCAAATATGTGAATCCTTGCTATTCGTTTCTTCCACGTTTCCTATAACAATGTTAAAAATCGCTTAACTATTTGGAGTGTATGAAGAACGACACACATGGCGATACATGGGGATGGGATCGGAATTAAGGGAATCGGCTTATGACTTCAGGAAGTTCGCGCGAAAATTTTCCAACCTTGATTTTGTTCTGAGACTTTCGCCACTGTAAGTTGATGAGCTAGTTATGCCAGAAATGTGAAAAAATGGGGAGTCACCGACTTCGTTTTGGAGAGAACATGCCCGGACGAACATCCTAAATCTGAAAAAACCGGGCTTCGTTAGCGAATAAGGCCACAGTGTCTGTAAGCCCAAAAATATTGCAATTAGATCTTTGAAGTGAAATGTTCTCTACCAAATAATGTTTAAGAGAACCTATTAAGTGAATTTACTCTACTGGTGAGGTTCCTAAAAGAGCAAGATCGCATTTAGCGACCATAGTTTCACGCGCCTTGCAGCCGCAAGATGGCAGCATTCGATGTCCCGTGGACAGAAATTTTAAATTTTTTTTTAACTTCCCACATTGATTTTTTTGTTCATTTTTGGACAATATGGAGATGATTGTAAATATAATCTCTTTCTGGAATGAAAGTAGGGGTAACCGAAAGTCCAAGATCGTTAAATCCAAGCAAAGCTATAGCAATGGCCATCTGCCCTATAATTGTTCAGTTTAGTGCTCAGCGCGCGCTCGATGTATGGCGTGGCGAGTGAATTATTTGCGTGCGCATTATAAGCACGAGCGTCCTTAAAAAAACTCAAATGCGAAAAGATATCAGTAGCAACCTGCGACATTGGTGTTGCTTTGTTGACAACTGCATACTAGTGCATTAAACCATTAAAGCTCAATTACACTCCAATTCGGGAAGATTGTCTCAAATTTTGCCCTTATTTCTCAGAAAAACGGTAAAAAAACCAAATACACTTTGCTTTAATTTCAATAATTCACTGATTGAATATCTTCATCTGAGTATTGTAGGAGTACTTTGAGTATAAGCGAGGGTATGTAACCACATTTCTGGCACCGTTTTCAGGAATACGTAGCATAATATTCGCGGGAGTGCAACTTTCAGCACTGAAATAACATATTGATCAGGTTCTGGCCCTCACTCTGTCAAGCAACGCTACACTCTCGGTGGAGAGGGTCCAGGGACAATTGGCTGCACGTGATAGTAATTTTACCTAGTTTTTTGGCCAATATTTACGTCCCCAGAGGCCTAGATCCCTTACATTAGGACCACGAATCGGGACCTCTGAATGGGTCCAACACTGGGAATCCCAGATTAACGTCACGGAGTTCTAGTCAAACCTGGCAAATCTGATTGGCTAAGAATACGAAACGAATGTTCTGCGCATGCTCAGCCAGACGTCGCGATTCTTGGTGCTGACCAAAAAGGTTATGGCCTCTGGGGGCGAAAATGTCTCGCTGATCCCTATTGCTCGTGTAAGAAGAGATGAGAAAATAGATTTGAAACAATCGTGGCGAATTGCTATCGGTTTTTTTACCACATTGGCTAGCTGCACTGAGCAATATCCTCTTGAAGTCCAGATTATTTTTCACAAGAAACAAATGCTGCAAGCGTCATATGAACTCTTGAAGGAGAAAGGAGTTGTAGTCAATTGTTATAAACCTTGAATATGTCAGAAAAGGTTAAACCTTGTGGTAAATACGAGGAGTAACTGCCAAGCTTAGAAGGAATCCATGATGACTCACTGGTGATGCGAACCACTTGATCGCCTTACAGCGCGCAGACATGAAAGTAAAGAAACTAAATATCTCCTCAGTTAGTTGTAAGAATTCACTCTTCGTCAAGCTCACCAGGAATCGAACCCACAATCTTCCCTGTCAACACAAGAATCCTATTACACTTACGTTCCATCCACTCTGGTGGCCTAACAAATTCAAGGCATTTCTATCAAAGACAAGATTTATTAAATGACTCTCGTTTCTCATTACTCCTTCCAGGGTGGTTTTTTAATCTCTGCAGTTCTAGCAAATTAAAATAACAGAAACATGCATTCGTTCAAGCTGTTAACTCCTATGTCATTACAATACAGATCTCAAGTTTAAAGATGCCCAAAAATAAATGGAATTGAAAAACATACATACATACACGCATACATCTTATTTTTGTTTTCAAATTAAAATTACTTTTATAACATGCCCGCGGATAGCTGAGCTAATCTATGCGGGTCATGTTTACATGAATTATTAATATACAACTAGGTACAACTAAATACAACTGAAGACAACAAGAGAACTAAAGAGACTAAAATTTATAACAATGACTAGAGACAACTAATAAACTAACGGTATTACAAATAATAATTCAAAAAAATCAAAAATCAAAAAGAAAATCAAAATACACGAGATTAGATTGCTATGTAAGTGTATCAGCGTAAACCCACAACCCCTTGAGAAATCGTAGTTACACGCGGAGTACTATCTGGCGAAGTGGTTAGTGGTGGTGCAGTGTCTTTTGCGGTCGGTGGTGTTGCTGTTGTATCTGGTGCAGCTGCTGATGGTGTAGCTGTATCTGGTGTAGCTGTTGGTGGTGCTATTGTGTCTGGTGCAGCTGGTGATGGTTCTGTGGTATCCGGTGCAGCTGTTGCTGCTGCTGTTGCTGGTGCTGCTGCTGATGTGCCTGGGTCTGCTGTAGTATCTGGTGTAGCTGTTGCAGCTGGTGTTGTATCTGGTGCAGTTTTTGGTGCTGCTGTTGTATCTGGTGCAGCTGTTTGTGCTGCTGGTGTATCTGGTGCAGTTGTTAATGCTACTGTTGCATCTGGCATACCTGTTGGTGTTGCTGTTTTATCGGGTGCAGCTGTTGGTGCTGCTGTTGTGTTTGGTGCAGGTGTTGGTGCTACTGTTGAATCTGGTGCAGCCGTTGCTGCGGTTGTTATATCTCGTGTAGCCGTTGGTGGTGGAATTGTATCTGGTAATGCGGTTGCAGCCGTTGGTAGTGGAGTTGTATCTGGTGCAGCCGTTGGTGGTGGAGTTGTATCTGGTGCAGCCGTTGGCGGTAGAGTTGTATCTGGTGCAGCCG